TATTTATATATTTTTTGCACAATGATGCTGACTTATTCAGCAGGCTTTTGGTGCTCAGAAACGATACATTTACACTACGAGTATGTCTATTTATGAAAACCTAAGTAGTTTATACGATTGAGTCATAGACATATGGTACATACATATAGAGAAGAAATGGGGAGAGGATACATAAATTTACACTTCAAATCATTCATACAAATAACACTGGCCGCAAATGTTCAATGCATATTTTAGAAACACCCACATTTTATCTTGGTTGCGAATTTTAATACCAAATTAACCAAAATTTTCCTATTGCCACAAATGTTCAATGCGTATATTAGGAACACTATGGGCACCCACACTTTATCTTGGTTGCGAATTTTAATACCAAAGTAAGCAAAATACAAGCGAATTACAGTGTTGGTAATCGTTTTTCGCTGACCTTACCATATGTATTCACCACAAATGTAATAAAACATATTAGGATCGTTGGTACAACATCTCAACTTACTTGCCATAATAAATTTTTTTAATCTACTCTTTATTTAAAATCTGTCCTAAGGAGAACAATTATTAAATTATATGGTAGCATCGGATTTGTTCAATCATGCATGCTGCCATGATGGTTGTGACGTGCTTATGCTAGGTCGCTGAGATATGCCAGGCCACTCTAGCTAATGAGTGCGAAAGGGGAAGTTGAGGGGATTGGTTCTCTTGAGATGCGTGAGGTGCTGACTTTTGTCCACTAGGTTTATGGCCAGGGTGTTAATGTGTGCAGACAGCCGCTGGACATGTCTGTTTTTAAATCGGACCGCAAAAGAGTTAAAATGGGACCAGTAGGTGAACCAGAACTGTCAGCTGATATTGATTAACGGCAATATAATACATACTACCTACCTCACAGATTACAGATACAAACACAGCTGCACCAAAAAGAACATTTTTTGTGTAGGCCTGTGTAAAATACATGAACATGCACACAAACTTATTATTAGCTGCAGACAGAATCATTAATGCAATCCTAGGATGCACTATGGTTTTTACCATCTTTTTTTTTTGAAAAAAAAGTCATGATTTGTAGGAAAAAAATATTTTTTTCTACAAGAGTATACTCCAACTGTCATAGAAAACACAATTTTAATCATTTAGTGCAGCCCTACAAGTTTTGCAAGGCCCTGAAAGTCGGCTGTTGTTTTACTGAAAATCTGGTGTTGTTTGTTCAAAAAATTTCTCCCTAAAAAAAAAAGCATATTTGACTTAAACAATTAAAGTGAAACATGGAAAATAATATTCAAAGTATGTTTAATATAATTGTGTTTGAATGTGTTCCTTTGTCCTTTGTCTCATGTGTTTTTGTTATGTGCTGTTTTAACCTCAAAGTAGTTTTATGTCGTGGAGTAAAATTAGGTGGATTGTCGTAACTGCGAATTCAATATTATTCATTAAAGTATCTTCTTAATGATGATCTAATTTTTTGTTGCCTGGTTTTGCCTGAAACCTGAAAAATTATGATTTTTTTCAAGAAACTTTGAGCATCAAAAACTGTTAGCGAGAGAAGGTTCCATGCAAAAAAATGTAGTCGACTAGCAAATATTCCAGATATGTTTAATTGGGTCATGGATAGTTCTGATCCCCTCTTGTCCAGTCTCTGTCTGTAAGAGCGACAAAGTAGCAAAATAAGTAGTCGCCCTCTTGCAGTCACCACCTATATACAAGAATATAAGCATTGATAAGGAAGCCCCACATGATTCGTCAGATGACGATAATCCCAGACAAAATGAGCTTGGACTTGACGATATTGTTTTGGCAGAAGAGTATTTTGAATTAGAAGAAAATTAAATTTCAGTGCGCTAAGTAGCATAGCTGAAATGATTTAAAAATTATGTTAAAAATATTATCGTAATAAATGCAACAAAATATACAACTATAAATGATCCAATTCTTTATTTTCGAAAATAAAAATATAGTGCATAAGAGAAAATAATAGGATAGAGTCAGTGGAAGTCAACCATATCGGTTATATGGCAGCTATATGAATTAGTGGCCCAAACTGAAGTACTTAGTACGTTCTCTTGGTGGACCAAAACATGTGTACACAATAAATTTGGGGTAAATATCTTAATATTTAGAATTTACACCAAAAAAAGGGGAGAAAAAACCATAGTGGGATGAGCTAAAAATCCGCCACTGTGGACATCACTTCAGTGTATTGTTTCCCGAAATTCTTAGTAGAAAGGCATGGAATTCTATTTTTTTAAATGATTAACTGCTTTAATACACAACTTTCACAATTGTGGGAGTAAGTTAATTACAAATCGTACTTAAAAATTTCGAATACACAACTTTCACAATTGTGGGAGTAAGTTAATTACAAATCGTACTTAAAATATTTCGAAATAAAATGAATTCATGAAATAAGATGAATTCGTTTTTTTACTTGGCCGTCTAATGCAGAGAATCTTAGATCTAGTTTTTTGTGTAGCAGGTGTTAATTTGTTTAACTTACATATTCAAATGGAGTTTTAGTTCTAATTAAGGCTTCAGATTAATAGGAAAACCAATAGACCCCGTTCAGCCCTGATTGGCTAATTGTTATCGATTGCAGGCCTGCAATTCAATAAGGTTTTTTTATTAGCGCTTCTGGCAACTCCGGCGTAGTTAAAGTGAATTTTATTGGAAATATAGCAGGCTTTGGAATTAGGTTACGTTCGACTAGCCTTCGCTGCCAATTCATTTGTGAAATCATCTGACATCGTGCGGTTCACTTGCCGTAGTACAGAAAATAGAAAAACTTTCCGAGTTTAATCAACCTAACCAAAAACATAATATCATACGCGAAGAATATTGAAAACTAGTACATCAACAAAGGTGAGTGGCAAATGTTTATCTTCTTGGGAATATGCTTGCTTACAATATGTTTGTGTAGAGCTCGAAATGCCGGCTGTAAGAAGGAGCGAGCGCATACGTCTTCGCCGTGAATTGGCGACCACGACTGTGGCACACAATCCAGTGAACAACAACGGAAGTGTTTCTCGTCCCCTTCACCGACCTCGACCCCGCCCACGAGGACGTCCACGTCGTAACCCCATCATACAGCAGAATGTGGAAGTGACTATAGAATCGAGCGTTTCGCAGGAGGAAGCCATAGCAGCTGTAACTGCTGGCATCATTGGAAGGCCCCAATCAGGCAATAGTCGCCGGAACATCCAACGCATGGTCGCTGTCCTGACAGCAGCAGATGCTTCTGGGCGTGAGGGCAATGCCGATGGATTTCGCTCCTTTGGGAGCTTCTTCGGTCAATTGCGTCAGAGAGCCAGCAACACTTTCCTTCGTAGTGGCCGTAATGAAGCGATTGAAGCTGCTAGAGAGCCACGTAACATCTCGGCTCGTACCCGTGCAAGTTTCATGGAGGAGGCGATTCAGCGTTCCTTGACGGGCAGTGCCAGCGCTGCAGTTCGTGGAGTAACCGCGTACTTGCAACGCAATTTCTTGTCTGCCTCTGCCGATGCGAATAGTCGCGATTTGGCCTTGCGCCGTCTGCGTCGGGAATTGGTGGACTTTATGCGGGAACCGCCAGACAACTGCAGCGTCGAGGCAGACGAGAACAATCTGTTCCATTGGAAGGCAACAATTATTGGGCCGCAGGGAACTCCGTACGATAGAGGCGTATTCCGTCTGGATATACAGTTCCCACCCGATTACCCGTTCAACCCACCGCACATAATCTTCCTCAACAAAGTATATCATTGTAATATCAGCGTAATGGGTTATATCTGCTTGGACATTCTCGACTCTCAATGGTCCCCGGCTCTAACTGTAGCCAAAGTGCTTTTGTCAATTATATCGCTGCTTTCGGATGCAAATCCAAATGATCCTTTGGAGATCACCATAGCTATGCTATACAAAAAGGATCGGGCCCAGCACGATAGAAATGCGCGTGCCTGGACAGATCTATATGCGAAGCCAATCCAGTCAGAGCATGAAGAGAATACGGTGGGGGCTAACGCAAATTAGCTAGCTATTGAAAAATTCTGCAAAGCAAATACGAACACACGTTTTTAAAAATATTTCTATGTTTTAATATATTTATATATTTTTTGCACAATGTTGCTGACTTATTCAGCAGGTTTTTGGTGTTCAGAAACGATACATTTACACTACGAGTATGTCTATTTAAGAAAACCTAAGTAGTTTATACGATTGAGTCATAGACATATGGTACATACATATAGAGAAGAAATGGGGAGAGGATACAAAAATTTACATTTCAAATCATTCATACAAATAATATACATAAACATACACACAGACTTATTATAAGCTGCAGACAGAATGTTGAATGCAATCCTAGGATGTGTTAAGAATCCGACACTGTGGACATCACTCCAGTGTATTGTTTCCCGAAATTCTTAGTAGAAAGGCATGGAATTCTATTTAAATAACGATTAACTATTTTAATACACAACTTTCACAATTGTGGGAGCAAGCTTCTTACAAGTCATACTTAAAATAATTCGAAATAAACAAAATTGTATGTGTGCAGATGAATTTGTTTTTTTACTTAACCGTCGAAGTAGAGGCTTGCAGAGAATCTTAGAGATAGCTTTATGTATAGTTTTAAGTAGTCATTTGTTTATAGCAGGTGGTAATTTGTTTAACTTAGATATTCATATTGAGTTTTAGTTCTAATAAAGGCTTCACATTAATAGGAAAACACGTGAATTCGTTTGCCCGTCGAGTGCCAATAGAGCCCATTCTTGAGGTATTGCCGTTTGATTTTGGTATACGGCCTCATGAGATCTCTAAAACTAAGGGCTCTCTTAAATGTTGGTAAAAACTCAAAGGCTCTCAAATTGTAGTTAGACCAAGGCTAGATCTTAGTTTTGTATTGTTCTTTTTCTCTTTGTGTATTGAAAGTGCAACGATGTTCGAAACTGTTTTAAGCCGGACATCTAGATACTTATATTAAAACTATCGTGAAGCGGAATCTCTGATAAGCGAAATGTATGATTGTAAGCACGATTACCAGAACCGTATTCGATACGAAATGTTATTATTAAGTAACCTTGGTTGATTCTCGTAAGAGAAGTTTCAAGTGCTCTACAACATGGCTGAACTATGAAAACATTTAAACCTTTAATGTATATTAGACCTAACAGTTAGATTAGTTGTAGTAAGTTTTTCTTGTGTAGTTGTATAGTAATAGTAATGTTAACTACTGAAATTTGATTTTAGCTAAACTAAAGTCCTTTGGATTGTGGTATAGTTGATTTTTCCGCACGCTGTGTCCGCCTTTCCTATTGGCCACTCATTTATTCTTCGGCAAATGCCGTTTCATATGCAGGGCCAAGTGATCGCTTCTCGCAAAGCTGCGTTCACAAACAATACACTTGAAGGGTTTGGCGCCAGTATGTTTGCGATAATGTCGCGTCAGTTCGTCGGAGCGAGCGAAACGCCATTCGCATTCGGGCCACTGGCACGTGTAGGGTTTTTCGCCTGCAATCAAAAAAATGGAAAAAATGTTGTTTTTATTATTTACAGAAATATTTAATTCACTTACAAATAACTTTAATTACGTTAGGTTAGAGAAGTAAATTGTTAACACCTGACATTTTATAGTTCTAAATTAACAAGCTACATAGTGACACCTAATGGGCTCCCTACATTTTGAAGAACTTTGTTTAAATAAATAAATAAAAGGTTGCATGAATTGAAAGCAAAATGGAAAAGAAATACTTTCCTGTGCATATAAAACATTGCTTTTCAATTGGAAAAAATGTCGCCCAACTCTAAAGAATTGCTCGAAAAGTGTTACAATGAATCTGCTCTGTTGTCAGTGACAATTTCTCAGTGGTTTGCTGAATTTAATTGTGGACCGAAGACAGTGCTCAGTGAGACTCAACTGAGACTTTAATCTACGCATGCTTTCAATATTTTTCATGAATATTTGCATATAAAGAGGCTAAATGCAAGATGGATGCCACGATTTCTCACATCAGACTAAAAATAATAATTTGGCCATCTTTAAGAGTAAGCTGCAGAAGTTTTGTGTTTTTTTTTTTTCTTCGTTCATTATTGTCCATTATTTTACTCCCGAGTCCATAAAAATATAAAGTTAAACGCAAAACAAACAAGTAGAGTTCAAAAAGTACTGGAAGAAGTGTACCGCCCTATGTTGTCGAGAGCTATGAATAGGTAGTGAGGGGGCTTTAATGGTTCAAAGTATTTTAATTTCTACTATATTGATTTTATTTTAACACGCAATTGAAGATTTTTTTGTGTTCAACACAAATATATATTTAATGCTCGACAAAATATATAGGTGGCAAACCTTTAAAGAATCGAATATGTTTGATGGCTTAACTATCATTATTACCTTTTTGAATTCGTATTGACAGTTGTTGTGTTATTAAAATATGTGCATTTTTAGCGAGCTGGTACTTTTATGTAATAATTAAGAGCTGTCTCAAGGCAATTGGGCCTTGATTGAGTCTTCGGGCCTTGCAACTTCTGTGCTCAATCAATGTTGCATGCAGTTGCAAATTAACATTTTCATTGAATTGCATTGCTTTTCATGTAAATTTGTTGTTTTTGTTTTTTTTTTCATGTTTTGCAGGAACAAAAACAAATAGAAAAACTATGACAATGACAACACGACGACAGCAAAACAGCAAACAGCAAACGGCAAACAGCAGCTGTACAAAATGGTAAGTCAATTCACAGTCTATATGTACTTTATTCGTATAGCATATACTTTTTTCGTCTATTTTTTAATGTATTTTATGATTTGATTTTTTGCTATGGCACACGACTTGTGTTCCGCTGCTGACGATGCCACAGCTACTACAAAAGCTACAGCAACAGCAACAACAAGAGCGGCAACAGCAGTTACGGCTGCTGCTGCTGCTGCTGCTGTAACGACAACAACGACGACATTTTTAACTGACTTTTGCTCTGCTCATGTCGTCGGCATACCAAAAATGCGGCTGCCTACTCAGTACCAGATCCAAGCCCCCCCGACTCTGCTGACTCGAACTCTCCACCGCCTCAGCTATGTATACCTATGACTAATTCTGCCTTACCGCTCTGCATGTTGTGGCATTACAACTCGTACGCTACATCAACATCAACATAAACATTTGTGTTCAAATTGAAATTGAATGAAATAATTATTGCGGTTTTAAATTTTTGAACTTGACATTTTTCGGCATTATTCAGACATTGTTGTTATTGTTGGTGTTGTAGTGGCTGTACAGCTATGTTTGTCTATGTAGCATGTCGAATGTGTTTTTTGTTGAATTTGTCTGTTTTATCAGCCTAATCGAATTAGACATGCTATAGTCAAGTTATGCTATTGTTTTCTTATTGTCCTTACAAAACTGAATTAGTTGACTTTCCCAACATGATTTCAATGGCCAATGGAGTGTTGAGTCTATTTTTAAATGGCTTACGAGCTTTAAGAAACACTATGTGCTTACTAGAGCTATTTCTTTTCCGAATGTAAATTATAGAGACATTATTTTTGAGATGAAGTCCAAGAATATATGTATACTTATTTAGTTTTGTATACTGAAATAGGCGTCGAAACGAAAAAGAAGGTACCAACTCTTTATCAAACATCTTTCAGTTAAAGCAAACCATTTTATGAACTAAAATTCGACTTATGTATACTGCTCTTTTTTTCGCTGTATTTTATCCTAAGCTCGATGACATGCAATTAACTTTATTTATTAATAATTCATCTATTTAATATTTTCCATGAAAAAAAAACGAAGTACAATCTTCGTTGTACAATTATAACCATAAGTTTTGGGAATAGTGTCTATAGTTATTTAATAAATTTTTTCTTACCACATATAGTAACATAGGTATGGTGTCGAAAATCAGTCAGGAGTCAAAGATGTTTAACCAAGGGATATGAAAAATTAAAGCTTAAGCCCAGCAGTTAATGCCTAAAGTTCAAATAATTTAATTCGTCTACAGGAGCCTATAAACATTGCTGGGAACCTACATATCACATATGCATGTGTATATATGTAGATTGTTGCAAACTTTTATTTAAAATATATAAATTTCAATCACAATGTTTAACACTTTCAACTGAAGCGACTACTTTCAAGCAATGTACAACAGTCTTTAATGGCTCGGATGCCGGCCGATGTGATCTCAGCCCCAAAACCCATTTCGATAAAACTTTAATCAAAACAACAAGGTAGAGTTGTTTTTGTTATTGTTGTTATTTTTTCTAACTACACGACTGCGGCGCGCGTTTTTAGGTTGAAATGCCTCTTCAAATACAAGTATGTGGAGGGGAGATAGAGAAAAAAATAAATACGAGACTCAACTCGAGTGGCACTCAGCTGACACTTTTGGAGGATTTGAATAGAAACTCAATACGCGACTCGTGGCGTGACTTATTGGTTTATTTAGATCTTTTAATGAATTTAAGTGTTTTGAGATGAAAACGACTCAACATATTAAAAGTTTACCTAGCAAAATGTGCGTGTGTGTATGTGTGTTTGTATGTAAGAAGCTTTATGTGAAGCCAATGTAAATATCTGAGGGTGAGTCATTCAAGTTACCTGCGAAATTGTGCTACAAGAGGCCTATGAAATAAATGGGTAAATATGCTTGAACAGAATCTCAGCCTCAAAATATATGAAATTGGGGCCGTGGGAATCTCATTTGCAACAGCAAATTAAAATCGCTCGCAACTAAAGACAAATAACATAACTGGCCGAGTCGAAGAAACAGCAAGAAACAAACAAAAAATTATGTAAATGTTGTTTTGTAATGTGCGATGAACGCAGCGCGATAAGCGCCCGAAATTACTTCATAATTTTCCTTACGTCGCGATAAGCCCAGCAAACATACAATATAAATAAATTTAAAGCTAAAAAGGCGCATAGAAATCGGACGAAAATAAAAATAAAATAATAATAAAAACATAGCTGGCCGTTGCGAATCCCACAGAACCATAAAAAAAAACAATCACAACGCAAATATAGCCGCAGGCGTCCAGTTAGGCACGCAGACGGAGCCGCGCCGAGTCCAATCCAAGTCGGACTCCAGCTCCGAGTCCCAATCCACGTCCCAGTGCCCGTCGGTCGGCATTAAAATCAAACTAATTTATGGCAGCGCGAACATATTAGCAAACAAATCAGTACAAAATAAGGCGAGCGAAAATTTAAAGCCCACAAGGCTACAGACTGCAGACCACAGCCACAGACACCTAAGGAAGTCATGGACAAGACTTGATACTTGAGGCTGAGTTTGGGGTTCGGGCATGGAGGCCTGTGCGATATGTGGAAAATTTATGCGTTCGTTCGGGCATAAAGATTAGTTACTGAGCGATTTTCTAATCGCAGCCTGCAGATAAAAACAAAAAGCAAAATAAAAAATGTAAATTTATTGGAAAAACGCGCAAATGACAAACAAAAGACTTGGGCAACAAACTCAATGGCGGCGGTGCAGAGAAGCAAATATTTAAACTAAGAGCACAAGTACCACTATCTAGTGGAAGTTGTTGCTAATCAGCAAAGGCAACACAATATTTATCTATGTGTGTGTATGCTTGTGTGTGTGTGTGTGTGGCGCCACGAGATGCCACAGCTTCAAAATTGCATGAGAAATGTGTTTAAACAGCAAGCGGCGCATGCAAAACTGTAAGTTGTGTCTAAGTATCTCTCTGTTTGTGTGTGTGTGTGTGTGTATGTGTGTGTGCCGCAACCTGCGTCTCTGGGCGTTGTAGCCTCTTACGTTGTTAACTAACTCAAAAGCCAAACAAACGGACAAGCATCAGACGGTAGCCAACGAGCTGCTGCTGCTAAATGCAAAACCAGCTCCACTCAGCCACTTGAAGCTAGGCTTGGTGAAAACTAATGCTGGATAAAAAATTGCAGCCCCAATGAACTAAATGCCTTAAGACATGGCCATTAGGCAGACTGACGGGCGTAGTGGTTATAGACAACAGCAGCAACAACAACAAATACTCGTACAACAACGACATCAAAAATAGGCACAAAGTGAGCTGCGCCTGTTTTGCCCGCGGCGGGTGTAAAGCAATTAAGCCAACTGACAAACTCTATGCTCCTCAAAGGCCTAGATGACCACCAACGGTTGTGTGAACCAGAGATGACAGTGGGAGTACGGGGGTGGTACAGTGATTATATAAAAATCAAAAGAAATGTTAAAAAAGCACAAAACTTGATTGTTTTAACCGATTTAGGAATCAAAAACTCTCGATGAAAAATCAAAATTATGAGAGAATCTTGTTTGAAAATTAAAATAGAAATAAACTGCCTTCATATGCTACTATAGTATATGTCTAATCATAGATTCTGATAAACCGGGTAATTGGTAGTGTCGCTATATCTCACGGCATCTAGAGAACAAGAACTACAACACACATCGAACGTATTCGATAAACTTTTTACACTTCGTGACTATCAAAACATAATTTCTTGCAACAGGGAATATGAGCAAAATGAATGATAATTTTATTAATTTATTTAAATGGAAGAAAATTGTCTGCATTCTGAAATTTAGTCCGATTTAGACTTCCTACTTCTTAATACATTCTTGGCGGTATTAAGGAAGGAAAATAAATGTATCGCAATCACAACAGATTGCTTTACAGATTATCGTTCTGCAACATAAATAACGTTTGGCTATTAATGTAAAATAATCAAAAAATTTGAATCTCTTTTAAAAGAAGGCTTAGCAAAACAAATTGACAATTGCTAAGAACATACCCCAGAATTATCACGTCGATGCCCAACGAGCCCAAAGGCCTCACCATTGTTCTCTGAATAATCTACTTCTAGTCGATTTCCATGACTGTCTGCATCTTGTGCAATAGTCAAAGATAAACTGAATATAGACTAATTGTGATATCATTTACAAGGCTTGATGACCCCAAGCTAACTTCAATTTATAACTCTATCGAACAGAAACTCTGCTCCTGCACTCGACTATAGATTGCTGGTCTGCGAACCCTCATCTCTATCGTATACTCTTAACTGATGTTTCGAATGCTAGTGGCGGGCTTAAAGAAGATTCGGGCAGGAAATGAATGCCTGAAAGTTTCAATTGTTGCACATAGCTTGGCACTTCTGTGCGGCCAGCTTTTAAAAAGTTGTGAGCCATCAATATCAGAATTGTTGTTGCTGCTGCTGCTGCTGCTGATGCCGAGCGTTAAGTTTATCAGTTAAGTGAAAATCTTCGCAAGGAAAATCATAATAATAAAAATGTTTTTAATGCAGAACTTAAGTTTGCGCATAAATCACGTGCTCATGTGCGATTAATAAAAACGAACACACAACTACTCGTATATAGTATGTATGTGGGGAATGGGGCGTAGGGTTATTGGACGCTTGGCAGCATTAAAAAACTTTTGGTAGGCATAAAACGTGCGGCGGTCTCTCGGCAGTGGCCCATAAAACGAAGACAGGTGATCAACGTCAAGTGTAATCTGAGCGCCAATTGCGACTGTGCTGAGGCCAGCCTAAAAAGCTAAAGCAAAGGCTGAGAGTCTCTGTCGGAGTCGGAGTCGGAATCTGAATGTGAGGCTGGGCCAGAGGAAATGCAGGCCAAACGTGCCGCCCGTAAAACGAAGGCAGCTGATGATGACGATGGCTGTAGTGGCGGCAGTCCGATGTTGCTGATGGCGTTGGCGATTGTTGCTGCCGCTGTTGCCGCTGTTGTGATGTTGCAACTGACCACAAAAACAAACCGAACAAATCACGATTTTTGCGGTTGAGAAAAACAGAAATTGAAAAAAAGGCGCAAGGCACTGCTTGCGCTTGGCAAATTATGTGCTGGCAACTACAAATATGAGCGCGCGAATTAATCAAAGCCTTTTTTCTTTGTATGTTTCTGTGCCAGTTGGTTGCCAGTTGGTTGCCCAACGCCCGTTACCATCACATTGGAGGCACAGCTGCGCTCATCGGTGTGTGTGGTAATAAGCGACCCACGCCAGTAACAGGGCATTGCCGCAGGATCTGGGCGAGCAGGCGGACGACCAAGCCGGCTCTACACAACACTGCATGCAACAAACACACAGACACACACACACACACAGAGACCATACGACACGACACGACATGCAACACGAGCACGAGACAAATGTGTGGCAGTGGGCTATGCTGGCGGCGCATTTCAACAGCCGCCTGCTAAACGTTATAATTACAACTGTAGCTGGCATACCGAGTGTGGCACTTACCCGTGTGTATCCTTTGATGTGCCTTCAAATGCGAGCTCTTAGTATAGACTTTGGAACAACCTGCGAAAGAGAAGAGAAAAGCGGTGAGGCAAGGTATTAATTGACAGTCTGCGAGTAACTTAAGACAAACAAAGCTACGGGCAACGGCCAATGCAGTTTGACATGAAAACTGAGCCCACCATGCTGCCCACCACCCCCTGAAAATTCGAATCCAAAGCATGTTAAGCAGCGTGTACGCTGTCGTGTCTTGCGCCAAAAATAAAAATCTATCTGAAATCGAAACTGCATGGAGCTGGTTGCTGAGGGCAGCCAACAAATTCAACAAATGCGAACAGTTTCAGCGACGTGCGCCTAAATTTATTTCGGTATTTAATTTAGTGACGAGTGCCGACTCACTTGAATTATAGACGCAATAATGATACTAACTATCGAAAAAAGATAGTAAAAGATGGTATTGCAAACAAGTTAAATGCTTTGGCCCACTGGAGTCGTTGCAGGGGGAGTTAGTTCGAAAAAATTCGGAGCTCTACCTGCTTATGCAAAGCATGTTAAAGTTCCCCAGAGTATGTTTAAGATCTAATATTTCCTCGATACACTTACTATACCTGCGATAATTTTGAAATCTACTTCAATGGCAACCTTCCTCATTTACACAATTAATAGAAAAGTCCACATAAATTAAATAACTTAACAAATGTTTAATAAAACTGAATAAAATATTATGGGTTGGTAGATAAATAGACTTATTTTTTCTAAAAGCATAAATGATGCTTTAATAATGAGTGCGAAATCTTGATGTTATTTAAAATTTTGCATTCGCTTATTATCAACCTATGTATAGGAATTATAATTATTCTGATGCACTCAATGATTCACAATTACTCCGGTCGAGAATTTGCCAATATTGTTCGAATCAGAATCAATTAAATCGATTTTGTTTTGACAATTAATAAGAGGCACGATCATTTTCTTTCTCTCAGTAGGTGTCTGTGCCTTGAAAGAGTTTATTAAACAACTTGAAGTTATGATGAATTATTTTCGCAGAAATGAAGATGCTACAATATTAAATAAGTTTTTTGAATCTATCCGACTCCTAATGTTAGTTAGCGAAGTTTGTTTAAAATAATAATCATTGTTTTCATATCATAATAACTCGCGTGTTTTATCTCCATTCGACTAATAAAATAATTGTAATCACATTGAAATTTAGTTAAGTCTTAATTCCTTTGGTTAACAATCAAATACATTTACTTTTTAAAAACTACTCTTCACTTATAATCAAATTAATTTTTCAGTTTCTTATTAAAATAACGATTAATAATATTTTGAAATTACTGCTCAATAAAAGATTATTGTCTACTTGGGTGTACAATTTTAGTGATAATGCGAAACTACTTTTGGAACGTACTCCTTAGCAGTGCTTTCGATGCAGCCCAGTGGGCGTCGTGTGTTATAGAAAGAAAAAATGAAATAATAGAGAGGCGTTGAGAGCAAGGCTCGGGCTGGTGCAGCCTTTAATTAAGTTGATTTGTGTGGTAGAGCTGGCGCTGGAGCTGCAGCTGGCAGCCGGTGAAAGTACCAGCACCAATATCAAAATAACAAAAATACCAAAAATAACAAAAGCAACAACAACAGCTACACAACAGCAAGTGACATTTATGAGGCACTTAAAAGGATGCTTAGACTAGACGTGGCCACGTACGCTCTAATTGGAGGCGCTTGCAACGTGCCAAGCATAAAAATGCGACGACACGATGTTTGGCTGAGCTGTAAAACAAAAGCCCAAACAGCAGCAGCAGCAGCAGCTAAAAATAAGCCAAGCCAGCAAACATGGCCAAAAAGAGTTAGCCAAGCATAGAGACAAAGAATTGATAGCTAAAACTAAGCGCAGTCAGAGCGCGGCCAAATGGAGGGAAAAACGCAAGAATGTCGCGCCACAGACGCCAGTCGACAATCGACAATCGAGAAACGTTTGCAACATTTGGTGGCGTGGTGTGGCTGTTGTGGTTGTGGCGGTGGTGGAGGTGGTGGTGGTGGTGCATGCAGACAACTCGACCCAAAGAGACAGAGACAAACATTCAGACTGACGGACAGTTGGACAGTCGGACACTGCGACTGACGATGGCTAGACAGTTAGACGCGTGATTGGCTGTCCAGATAGGATTGTTGATCACATACCAAGCGTCGAACTTCTGAAACATAACTCACTTGCCAGTTGCTGGCTAGCAGTTGCCGTGGCAGCCAGTTCAAGTACCTGCGTCCCCTCCTCTTCCTCCTCCTCCTCCACCACCATCTCCTACTCCTCCGCCCAAAAGTTTCCACAAACCTAGAAGCTCACAATCAGTTGAGTCTAAGAGTCGAGCTTGTCGAGCTTGTGGCCGTAGCCGTTGCCGTTTCGTAGCTGATGCGTGCGTTTATGGCATAATAACTTCATTTGGACGGCATTTTTTCTCCTACTTCTAGCTGCTTGCTAAAACGATTTGAGTTTCAGTTTGAGTTTGGCTCTGTCTGTCTCTCTATCTAATGTCTAATAGATATTTGTGGTCTACGCGCTTTTGTCTAAAAATGGCCACGGCAAACGTGTCAGACAATTGTCAATTATTTATTAGTGGCAACGCACGTACTGACGGGCGTACATATAGATGGATAGATGGAGAGATGGATAGACGTATAGATGGATCTATGTTTGGTCAAAAGAACGACTTGCCGGCTAGCTAACTGGTTGACTGTCCGTCTGTCTGTCTGTCTCCCTCTCCGTCTTTACAATGTTGTGATGAAGTGACTTTAAGTGGCAATGCTTTAGGCTTAATAAATAACTATTAGATGTGCGGAGCTGCATTGAATGTTGCCAGAAATAATTTTGGAATCTGTTAAGGCAAGTTCAGTTTTTCTAGCAATACATTTTAATTTGCATTTTTTAAAACCCAACAGTTAAACAAACTGCAACAAATACTGTAAAAGGTAACGGTCTAAACCGATATCACTTGTTGTTAACGATTTCTAAAGATTTTTATTCCTAATTGCGGCAGTGGTGGACATCACAATTAATATTATTTATTGAAATCATTTTTTTCTCTCAAAATTAATATTTTATGCCTTAAAAATATTAAATTAATTTATTTACACATAAGTGCTTGACACCTGTTGGCAATGGCAGTTCTAAACTTAATATTTATTCACTTGTTTTTTATCTGGTCTTCCAGACTATAGAACTTCCAGGGAACTAAATCAAAAACACGAAATCAAATACTGAATAGGATTTCCTTTTAAGCTATTAAAGAGCATTGCTCGTATTTTCTCGTCCAATCTGTTTTTGATCATGAAGGCTATGATGAATGATCTGGAAACTGCGCAGAATTGCGCGTGACTCATCGACGTGACATTGAAACTGAGAGAGAACGATTGCAATTGTAACAAAAGCGTCAGTGTGGAAAGAAAACTCTTACATAAATATGGAATTAGCTAATTAGAATTACAAAAAAGGCCAAAGCTAAAGCGCCACAACAGCAACAGCAACAACAACAACCATTGCGAAAAGCAACAACAATAGCATCGAGCGCATTTAGCAAACTGCACACACGCAGAAAACCAAAAGCAACAGCAACAGCGACAATAACAGCCACAGCAGCAACAGCAGCTTTGCCAAGATAATAAATAAATGTATAGATAAATAGAGAATAAATAAATGCCGATTGGAAATACGCGGCACGCATGCGCAAGCAGCGGCGCACGTGTAGATCGGACAGAGACTAGGGGACTACAAGTAAGCCTGCGCTGGGAGCGCTGCGACCGACAACAGCGACGTCGCGTCGACTGCGTGCCTTGTTACGAAAAGTGTCGCAAAGCGCGCGAAATGATAAACGAGGCGGTCATGCGAGGCATACCAATCGGACGAGGAAGTATATTTGGATGGACTTTAGTTGCCAGCAGATACCCAGAAGATCAATACACTGCAATAAAAACGATGCTTAAGTTTCGGAGAAGCCAACTCCAACAGTGAAAGCTTAATTGAATTACAAAAGCAATTTAGTAAATAAATTTTCGATTTCTGAAGAATAGAGGAACTAGCAGCTGATTTAAATATTTGCAGTACTTTTTCAAAGAGAAAATATCAAGGTCACTTTTTTCTGGTAATTTTTTTTACATTTTCAACTTGTCTTCAAAAAAAAAAACTTTTACATACGAATGGAGTTTTCGTAAGACGAGTTCATATAAAATTGTGGTGGAAATATTTATACTTCAAAGATATTCTATGATCTCCATATGTTGGAAATCCAGATTTAAGCATTTCTAAATAATAGTTGAATACTTGCAAGTGTGCTACTTTTTTACTTCCGATATGTTTTATAGCAGCAAGGCAAAAGAAATATCAAAGAATATCTATACACCATTTAAAAAACAAAAATGGTTTGATGGTATATTTTCTTTTTTTATAGAATATCCATTTTCTATGCTTCTATGATTTGACTAGCAAGGTATTTTCTAGAATTCTTTTTGATTCAATTAACGTTCTATTCTAAATCAGTCAGACCGAACCAAAATGACAGTCGAAGTTGTGGATCTGAATAAAATGAAAGCTAAGTCAACTCAGGATAATGGAGCACTATAGATTTCATATCGCATCATATACTATATATAGTAGAATATATAGTAACATTTTAAGCGGCAATTCTGCACTACTACTTACTGTATATTCTCCCCGTGTACTCACCCACAAAATCACAGTGATGGATGCGTCGCTTCTCCAGCTCGGGATTGTTCCGTCGATTGTAGCGTACAGTGCGCACGCTCATGAGGCTGGCGATGTGTGCGGGTGTGCCGGGCTGGTGTCCCCCACGACCTCGTCGACCCGTCGGCGTCGGTGGATGGGGGGCCATATGCGTTGTCTGTGGCGGTGGTGGTTGCACATTGTGGTTGCTGTTGTTGTTACTGTTGTTATTTTGGTTGCTGTGAAGGGGGGTCGTTAGTGTGGTGAGCGTGGTGGGCGTGGCAGAGCTGAGATGTTGTAAACTGGATGCTGGATTGCCGGGGCCCAAAGTGACAAGGCTGGGGCAAATGCTGGCCAGAGCATGTTGCTGCTGCTGCTGCTGCTGGTAGGGCGGTGGGGGAGTGGTGCGACGCTGCGCCTGCGCCACAGCAGCGGCTGCAGCGACCATAGAACTACCGGGACTGCCGGGATCTGAGCTGGGTGGTGTGAGTGGCGGCACAAACATGTGACGAGCTGATGATGAACCTGTCGAGGCCGACGAGGAGGCACTCGAGGACGAGGCACTGCCCGTGGATGGTGTGCTGGGGGCGGCAGGTGGGCACAGTTGCTGCACATGTTGAGCTGTGGGCGTGGCACTGCTGTTGGCTCCAACAGATGGCGGGTGTATTTGATATTTGGTGTGAAAGGTCTATTTAGTAGAAGAAAAATCAAAAAGAGAATGCAAGCAAAAGTTGTAGTAGTTGTTGTGGCTGCTGCTGCTGTTGTTGCTGATTTAAACAGAGGATTAGCAGTGGGAAGATTTGCTCACCTGGCTGCTGCTGTGCCAACTGTAGCCGTAGCTGTTGCCGTTGCTGCTGCTACTGCCCGACGTGCTGGTAGTGACGCTGCTGCTGCTACCGTTGAGATAACTGCTGGTGTTCAATTGAGATGCGTACTGTTGCTGATAGGAGGAGTTGTTGTTGTTGTTGCTGTTACTGCTGCTGTCGCCCGCCAACTGCTTGGGACTGTTGCTGCTGCTGTGATTGCTGCCACCGCTGAGTGGTGGCGGCGCCAGGGAGCCAGCGTGTTGCAGCTGCAATTCTACAACATCGGCAGCAGCAGCAACTGCCGCAACAGCAGCGGGTGGCAAGCCCAGGCTTGGGTGATGCTGGTATAAGTGCTGTTGCTGCTGGTGATAATGTTGGTGATAGTGTTGATGTTGTTGTTGCTGATGCTGCTGCTGGTGCTGCTGCTGGTATTGCTGCTGCTGCTGCTGTTGTTGTTGCTGCTGCCGCTGCTGCTTTTCAGTTTTAATCTCCATAGGACTGAGCAATGGTGTCGAGAATGTTTCGAGCAAGGTTTCGTCTATTGCTTCCATTTTGACCTGTGGCAGCAACTGTTGCTGCTGTTGCTGTTGTTGCGCTGCATTGTCACTGCCATTTGCCACCGAACTGGCACTCAGCATGAGCGCGTTCTCAGGATCAATATTTTGTATTGAGGTAGCAATATCATCCCAGAGAGCTGGTCGCGGATATGGATCGTCTAGTGGATCGGCATAGAGTGCCTCTTTGTTTTTGGTTTCTAAAGAGATGGGAAGAGGAAAGAGAGAGATACGAAACTTATACAAGAGCTGTCAATTGCTAATGCAAATATTTAGTAGGAAATTATTAATGTACATATACAAATATCGCGTATGCATGAAATTTTATACACACGTGTTGATTTTTGTCAGCTAAGTAGCAAATGTAGTAGGCACACTAATTGCCATAAGTATTTTGAATAGGTAGCGAATAAAGTCTGAAAAATAAGCGACCAACTGCTTTCTCTATCAGACAATATTTAAATCATTTTTGAAATTAGTCGTAATGGCAATGATTTGCCAAGCCGTTTAATAATGATCCATAATTTCCAACTCGAGGAACCCAATCTAGATTATTGCTGAAATTATTCAAGCATTACATGATATGTTGCTGTTTCAAAAAAATAACAAAAGCTCTCGAAATAATAATTTTGGCAGTAAATAACGACTAGAATGATTTTTCTATTGAGTAAGTATTGGGAAGTTTAGATCACGCCGACTTCAATTGAAAGATATAGGTATACAAGAATTTAATAAGAAACTATATTGCTGATATAAAGCACATTAATTGTCAATGGCTGAATCTTGAATACCGAACAATTATTTTTGTTGACGAAATTATAAGCCAAATACTTATGGTTGCCAGTGTACCCAAAAAAAAGCTTTAGACATTTTTGTTGACAGCTAGTAACAAAGATCATATATTTAAGATGCAGCATCTATCAGACCTATGTATGTGTGTATGTATGTGTGGTGGCTGTTTACCTTCACTAAAAAACTGAACTGGGGTTTCGTCTCTGGCAGGCAAACTCAAATTTCACTCTCACATCACATCTTGTTCATATGCTTGGATGGTTTCAAATTTCACATTTGGCATAGAAATTAAATTATGAAACAAAATAACATGTTGTCGGTGTCCGTGTTGTTGTCGTTTGTTGTCTCTGTCTGTCCATCTGTCAGCCTGCCGGTGACTTTTGCTATTGACTTGCGAGATTTCTCCATGCGTGTAATTTTGTGTACCTGGCACCCCCTTCCCCTCCCCATTCACTTACCATACAAATACTCCTTCTCGCCACCATTGCCCGCTGATGGTCCACCGCCACCGCCTCCGCCTCCAGCGCTGAAGGCGAGCGCCACATCGTAGGGCGCTCCATCATAAAGCGGCGCACAGCCATAGGTGGAATTCGAGTTGGAGTTAGGCGAGCCGGCGGGTTGTTGTTGCTGTTGTTGCTGCTGCTGCTGATCGCTGGCATAGCTTGGTGGCAACTGCCAAGCATCCAAAGCTGCATTGCCGCTCTCCCCGCTCTGCAGACTGTGCGAATGCTGATGCAAATGCTGATGATGGTGATGGTGCTGATGCTGGTGCTGATGCTGATGATGGTGCAGGTGATGATGATGGAACTGGTGGTGATGATGATGTGGTTGGCCAGCCGTTGTGGCGACTGCACCGCTGCTGGCATTGGTGGGCGGGCTAATGGCGTTGCTGTTGTTGTTGCCGCTGCTGCTGTTGTTGTTGTTGTTGTTGTTATTGTTATTATTATTATTGTTGTTATTATTGACACCGGCAGCAGCAGCGAGCACTTCAAGTTCAACATCGGCTGGTTCGATCTTGTGCAGACGGCCCATCAGCTCTTGCCGATAGTCCAGTTCCGTGGACTGCAATAAATACCAGAGAGAGAGAGAGGTAAAGAGAGAGGGAGAAAGTTAGAAATAGGCTTACACAGTGAAAATTATTGTCTTCTAAGTTGATAAATATTGAATTTTGTTTCACAATCACAAATCACAATTTTCTTAATCAAATTTCGTATATTACAACACAATATAAGTATTTATTGTAAGGGAATTAAGAAAACAAGTAAGTTGTTTTTTTTCAGGGCCTTTTTCTATATTCATTTTGCTGTTGTTATTACAATAACTTCCATTAATGTGTTAAGTTAGTTGAGCTTAGTAAAAACTACTTTTCGAAATTGTCAGGAAAATCCTGATCCGGTCCGATCTACTGAATAAAAGATTTCAGTCTAAAAGCAGTATTTTTTCGAATGATTCGTATTAATTGATTATTTTTTTCGCCGAGTGTGGCAATCTGGCAAACGCTTCACACTTCCATATGGCAGACCCTGCACTAGTCCCATCGACCCACCGGCAAGAGTGCTGGCCGCATTGCTTCTTCATAAATTTTGATTAAAGTTTTATCGCCGACCGACACTTTGAGCAGCGCTTATCTTTATAGGCGACCACGCGTCTCGTTTGCATCGCAAACCTGTCCCTACACTACTATATATTCTTTCTCTTTTTTACCAACTCGCATCTTTATTTTTATTGCATTCTTCGACCGAAGTTTATTTTACGTTTCCTTCTTCTTGTGGACAATTTTCAATTAAATTTTCATGCATTTGTTTCGCACCGAAAATTTTGTTGTAGATTTGTCGACCATTTTCAGATTTTATGTTTACGAGCTCTGCTCTGTGCTCTGCTCTTAATGCTCATGCGCTTTTAGTTGTGGCGCGTGTGCAAGTTCGTTGCCTAAGTCATTGCTGGCATAAAACTTAATATTTTTTTAGCGTTTGTCCAGAGTTGACAAAGGCAAAGTGTAAGCCAGCTTGTGTCTGTATGTGTGTGTGTGTGTGTGAGGCTGCTTGGTGTGAAAAAGCAGCCACGTTGGCGTCCATGTCGATGTTGATGTCGAAGTTGATGTTGACGTTGACGACGACGACGATGAGGCTGAGACTGAGACTGATGCTGGCGACGCCAGTCGTGTGCAAATGAGTAAAAATAGAAACGCGCTAAAGTTGTCGCCTTTTGTGATGCTAAAATCCGCTTATCGATTCTGTAGGTTTTTTCACAATTTACATTACTTATGGAGACCTTTTTTCTTAAAGAAAAAGACAGCTTACGGTTTGTTGTTGCTTGCTGTTAATATTTGATTTTTTTGGCATTAGAATTTGATGGTATGGTCCATCGTAGGCTTAAAATTATGCAAGTAGGCTTGTCATTTTGCTCAAAAAATAATTAGTATACATTTTCGTAAATTGTAAATGGATTCAAATAATATGCCCTTCCACGTGTCCCTCGGGCTCGGATGGGCGTTGTAAATAAATAAGCGCAGAAATTAGCGGGGAAAGTTTTGAATTATCATAGACAAGGGAGTGCTCAAATATACATCTCGTAAATGATCTAAAGATGACTTGCAGAAATCTAGTTGTGTTCGCCTAAATCTAAGCATTGCCAAGAATTAAAATCATTTAGAAGAATTGAGGACATTTAAATCATTAACACATTAACTATTAAGGTTTAAGCACTTCAAAAGCCTTTCTGAATAGGCAACTATTCGAATTTTTAACAATATTAATATTAAAAACGTAAATATTAATGCGTAAATTATCAAAGTATGCTTAGTTCTAATGCTAACTGGTTTTTAATGAATGAAAATTAACTGCATTAGATTCCCTTTTGCAATTTCCTGCTAATTAAAAAGCTCCAAACATTTATACTCTTCCAAAAGATATTCATTGATGTTTTCATTGACTGCCTAACTGTCTAGCTGGCCATGAATGTTGTTCTCGCATTATAATTTATGCAGCATCCAAGTTCTATTGTCTATATCGAGACTGACAACAAAGATACTGACAGCATCTGAAATTTATGGCCACACTTAAAGTTGTTTAGGCAAACATAATAATCACTTGGCAAATTAGTGAAATTTTGATTTCAAAATAAAATTGAGTAGAAAACACACAGAGATCTTTTCACATGCAAATGCGCCAACTTAAAAGGCAATATATCAAGCAAAGTGTTCGATCAATATATTTTGTGAGTTTCCCCCCAAAAACCGAACAAACTGATTCGATTTCCAAGCTCTGAAGCTGGCGAAATGTTTGTACCGCAGACTGAGTCACAAAGCTCGTATCTTTTTATGAGCCTAAAATTTACGAGCATGGCAAATTATTTTGCTGTGATTTTTTCTCCACCTTTTTTTAATGCATTTTTCATTTTATTGACTGTGGCTTTTTTGCATCGCATTTTTTGTATCTATGCCGACTCATAAATGTGTTTACTTATATAAATGTGTATGTGTGTGTGTGTGTGTGTGTGTGTAAGTGGTCTAGTCTTTTTTTCTTTTTTTTTGCCACCGCCAACATTGAAAAATGCTTTTCGGCACACTTGAGGTCAACATGGCGTGTGATAATTTTAATAGATTTTTGCTGCGCCAGCCACGTGATGTATGCGTGTGTTTGAGAGAGTGTGTGAGTAATGTCAGTCGAGTTTCATTTGCTGCAAGTTTTTGAGTGACTTGCTGCTAATGTTTTCGTGTGCCAGCATTTCCACGAATTGATTTTTCCTCACTCCAACTAAAAAGACCTAAACAAAACTCTGTGGAGCTGCTGCTGCTGCTGCTCCTGCTGCTCATACTGTTGGCGCATTTGGTGCGCTTCACACGCAAATGACCTCATAAAAATGCGTAACGCGTCGCCTTAGACCAGTGCGGAATCTTTAAGTGCCTTAGCACAACATTAGCCGACTTGGACCTGCACTTGGACTTTGGCGCAGAGCGCAGGGCAAGAGCGCAACTTAAACTTTACTTCGCAGCTAATTCAAGTAGAGATGTGGAAGAATTCGTGTCTAACTTATCGTAAAAGTGCGTCAGTTTCGTGAATATTCAAGAGTCCCTATTCGTAAAAAGTAAGAAAAAACGTTTTCGATATGTTGTGCACTCAAATATAGATAATCTTTCAATGTAAGTTGTTTGAAGTATTTGTAGATGGCTAATGAGAATATTAGTTAATTATTTAATGCAAGGGACCAACGCTTTTTCAAGATTGAATAGCATCGGTAAGTTGACTCGATGATCTGCATATGTTTAATACGGAACCTGCTACTTGATAATACACTTTGTATCGCTTTTATCTTTAAGATGACGTTATCTTTCTTTAATAATAATAATTAATACGTATATTTTTCTAAAGACCAAAGTTTTAAAATCAATTAGAACTCTAAATAGTATAACACAGAGTATATACAAGGAAACCAAGCTTCGTGAGTGATAGCGGAATTCTTTTTGGTATCACGCCCACATCTCTAAAATCAACGTCAACGGGGAATTAAAGACTGCGTACTGAGACATTGCGACTCTGACGGCAACTGCACAACGGTAACTTGCGTCAGAATTTCAAGTTGTCTGGCACATTGACGGTCGTTCATATTGACAAGAACAACAACAACAACAACAGTAGTAACAAGAACAAGAGAGACTGAAGCTACATGAATTTCAATTATGAACCTGTTCTTACTTTTGTTTTCGAACCTCTTACCACTTGTGACGTTTCATTCTGGAATTATGTTCATGTGTGTACTTTTTATTTATTTCTATAATACTCACACATCATATTGTTCTTCGGGGTCGTTGTTGTGCGTACGCCAAAGTATTTTATAAGATATTTTTCCCCCTTTTTTGAACATTAAAATGCCGTTGTCAATAATCGACTGACACAAGCAATAAATGAGCATTATGTACATAAACATTTGCATAAATTGAATGAGCAAGTGAGTGAGTGAGTGACTGAGTGCCTGATTTGACCAAAAGGCCAACGAAAGCTGCGTTATTCTTCTTTAATTTTGTATTTATTGTACATTTGGTAATATATTTTTTATTGGCATTACCTCTTTGGCCTATTTCTCGAACAATTATTTGCTGCTGGCTATGAAAAACAATCAAGAGAGTCAATTGAACGGGTTTATGAAGCAACAATACACAATAATGTGAAATTGCACTGCGCAACGGGATATTTTTTAAGGCGTTAAGTATGTTGGAGGATTGAGGAATGTGAATATATAAATATATTAATGCATTTTGAATCATTTCCCACAAGCGGGTTTGATAATGTTGCAAATATGTACAATAGTTTTGTTTTCTTCAAAAGCTATGATGTAATGGAGAGATTTAAAAAGACTTTTAAAAAAGCATTAAGAAAAACGTATTCCAAATAAGATTGCAAATATTTCAATTCGAATTTCGTAGCTTTAAACTTTAAAATTATTCTAATTGTAATTTGCTTTAGCTTCTTTCTATTATAATATATAAAAGCATACGATTATTCCTTTTATCATTGACTGCGTGCGTTAAGCCCCCACCAAGCCTCACCAACAGATGTTGTGGGCGAACTCTGGAAAATTTAAATTCCATTCTTGTGAGCCATTAGCTGCCTAATTTATTGTGGCCACAGTTAGGTTGTTTGTTCGTTTCGGTCCCATTTCTTATGGGTTTTATGAATACTCTCTTGTGTTTTGGCCAGCCTCTCGATATCGGTACTGTGACATTTATGAACAAGTTTATGCGCAGCTGTCAAAAATGCTGTCCCACCAAAATGCAAAATGGCCAGTTTTATAGCTCAATATAGGTGTATATAGACGGCGTAGAGCGGACATATTGCTTCAAAATAGTAAAATGAATAAAAAGCGGTTGGCAATTTGACATCTTTTTGGCATATTGATGACGGTTAATAGCCCCCCTCCCTCGAACCGCTCGTGGGTTCACAAATTGAAAAGCGATGAGCGGCCAAAGAAATGTGGCTCTTTAAAATGCAAAGCGGGAGCCACTGCGAGCCAACAATACAAAAGAGTAACAGCAATAGCAACAACAACTTTTACAACAACAACAA